TAATTTTCAAAATAGAAAAATTAAAAAACAGAATTTTCAGATTTTCAAAGATAGATTTTTAAAGACAGTTTGGCAGGTTGAACCATGAACTTAAAAAATCAGATTTTGGCTCAAATACTGTCAAAATAGCAAACTGAAAAACAAATTTTTCTTACAGATTTCTTAAACCAACATCTGTCAACAGAGATTTTGCATGAACTCTCAAAAAATCATGCTCAAACACTGTCAAAATGCTCAAATACTGTCAAAATAGCAAAATGAAATAGATTTTTTTAAACCATCAACTGTGAACTGAAAATGCTGAAAGACAGATTGTCAAAATAAACCATGAACTCAAACAACAATCTTACATAACCAATAAAGTGGGACTTAATAATAACCAATCTTGCAAATTCATACACAACATTTTCAGTACACATGTAACATGAGACTTAACATAATAAGTTTCAATCTCAAAAACAAAATGTCAATGTTCAATAAACTAGTCAAACATTTCTACAATCTCCATCATTCATTCGCGCTATGCAATGTCCATCATTCATTCCCGATGTGCATGCATTAGAACCCGATGGGGTTAGAGATCCAAAGCTAAACATTTGAGTTGGAGCACTCATCATACTTCTCGGTGTGCCGTTTACAAAGTCCAATGGCATAAGAGATGTGGCTCCAATAGCATTTACGACCTGTCATAATTGAAGTAAAAAAATGCATGTTACAAAATATTTGTAAATGAAAACAAAAATTGATGTAAAGTCGTCTTATGAACACATACCGGTGCGTACACACTATTTTGCATGCCAACCATATAAGGATAATATGATATATAAGCTTGAGCTTGAGCTTGAGCTTGAACTTGAGCTTCAAATTGAAGCACCTTACCAGTCTATATTGGTTCAAGAGTTTGTAAAAATGTACTTCAAACGAGTTTGTTAAAAAAATAAAAAACAAGTTCAATTAAATATACAATTTACCTTTGCTTTTGTTTGTTTTTTTGTCGTTGCCCTGAACCGATTCACTATTTGATCTACTTTGGCAACCTTTCGTTTCGTTACTGGACGGCCTCTTCGCCGAACAACAAAAGAACTAACCACCTTCCTCGTACTAGCACCCGATGTACAACCGGTGGCAATTGGACTTTTTGTAGAAGATGGTATCCTATTAGTAGAAGGTGGTAAATTACTCCCATCACCCAATTCATCGTGCATGACTCTATCCTTCAGTTCATCCAACCCAAGGTCTATAATTTTAATTTTCCCTTCTGAATTACCAGCAAGTTGTATAATGGCGATCAATTTCTTGTTCATTCTCTCATAACAACTTGTATTAAAATCATTCCCAAAGCCAGTGTACGTGGTTTTGATGCATGTGTACTCTCGAACCAAATCTTTCCTCCAACGTGGCAAAATGTACTTACTTGGCACCTCATTTATGCACCTTCTCACAAGCACCACGAGTGAGTGAGCACACATAATGCCTCTAAACTGAAACAACCAACACATACATTGAACTTCACATTCAATTGAATTAAAATACACAACAAAGTTCACATGTTTCATCTTGTCACAAACTACCATCGCTTCTTGGACATTATATGTACAAATTGCTCCCTCCTCTTTGACAATCAAGGCTTGACAGTACACTAATCTCTTCAACTCTCCTTGAACTTCTTTGAATTTTGCATTGGTGTAGGCTTGTTGAAATTGCTTCTCAAAGCCATTTATAGTTAGACAATCAAACAATTTGTGTCGAGACTTGAAGTCTGAATTCTTCTCTTTCTCTACCTTACTTCTCAACGCATTGTCATATTGTTCAACAAATTGTTTTAATGTAGTCTTCGGGTTGACATATCCATCAAAAAATGCATTCATGCTTTCACTTCGTTGTGTTGTTGACATGCCAACCCAAAAAATGTCTTTAACATATACAGGAACCCATCGATGCCGCTTATGATATAGTATCCCCAACCACTCATTATTATAAAGATTGAATTTAGTAAGCATCTCTTCCTATTTTTCCTCAAATTCATCTCTTGTCAAACAATCGTAAATTGCATTTTGCATAGCCAACTTTATGGGTTCATACTGAGCATATCCTTTCAACTTCTCTGGTATTTTCTTCATTACATGCCATAAGCACCATCAATGCCGGACCTGTGGAAAGACAATTTCTATAGCATTTTGCATAGCTCTGCACTGATCATTTATGATAGCTTTTGGAGGTTTATTTGACATGTAACTTAACCACGACTTGAATAGCCAAACAAATGTGTCGGTGTCTTCACTAGATAACAATCCACAACCAAGCAAAATAGACTATCCATGGTGATTGACTCCTACAAATGGAGCAAATGGCATGTCATATTTGTTCGTCAGATAAGTTGTGTCAAATGAAACAACATCTCCAAATGATTCATACATAGCCCAACTCCTTGCATCAGCCCAAAACAAGTTTCTAATGCGAAACTCCTCATCAACATCAATCACATAAAAGAATTTCTCACTATGTGCTTGTATCCTCATAAAATAACTTTGAAGTGATTCGGCATCACCTTCACCAAGCCTTAATCTTCTAGCTCTATTAATGTAATTCCTTGCATCTCGCTCATCAAATGTCAATGACTCGTATCCCCCCGCTTCAACAACCATTGAATGATAGTTCTTAGACACCTCAATCCCTGCTTGATCATTGATTTCTAATCTTCTTTTCACAGGAGTACGAATTTTCTTATTCATTGCAAAATGACGAGAGTCGGTGGGAATCAAATCATGATTATGCTCAAGGTTAACTGTGGTTAACATATATGTCCCATTCTTTTGTAGAGTACCTCGTATCCTTGCTTTGCAACCAATTTTTGTGGACAAAGATGGCTTCAAAGGGTTCACTTCTGATTTCTTTTTTCTCTCTTCCGCTCGAGAACATTCAATTGCAAAGTTTTTTAATTCGCCATCATCTCCAAAATGTTGTGCTCTATGAGCTATAGAAAAGCCAACATGCTTAGCATATGTGGCATAAAATGTGTACACTTCTTCCCTTGAGCTAAAACACATACCCTTGTTAGGTTCTTCAACTTGTTTCCCCTCATTTACTGAAGGATTGTCACCACCATTTGAATCAACCTCCATTCTATGAGAATCAAAAATAAAATTCAAATAGAATGATTTTAGAATAATTATGAAACTGTTATGTTGAACTTTACATTGTGATAATTTAAATTTATGGTATAACTAATAGCGACTTTAATTTCAACCTCAACCTCACATAGTCATGGTATATGTGATTTTGAAACTGTTAACTTCAATTTCAAACTTTGAAGCTGTCATGTTCAACTTCAACCTCACATAGTCATGGTATATCACAGAACACATATTAAACACTGTTAACAAAAAAAAAAAAAAAAAAAAAACCATACAGATGATTGTACTGTTATCACATATTATAGCAGAGATTGATCAATGTCAACTTCAACATATTATCACAGAGAAAAATCAATGTCAACTTCAACATATTATCACAAAACACACATATCACAGAGATTGATCAATGTCAACTTCAAAAACCATACAGAACACAAATTATCACAGAACACATATCAACTTCAACCTATTGTTATGTTAAAATGTTCATAATATAGACATTTCAACATCTTTTTAACAATCCACATTCGGTCATCTTATTCAACTGCTTGGCTTAGTCATCTTATTCAACTGCTTGGCTTAGTCAGTTAAGTTTGTCAACTTCTCAAAAACTAAATAACAAAACACATAAGATTTTGGTGACCTCTTTGGTATCATTTCTAAAAACTGTTTCCTATGTTGAGAATTTAAAATGTGAAAACAAACAGAAAATTGTTCGGAAATCATTTTTCAAGAAATCAAAATCATTTTTCAAGAAATCATTGATTCAAGAAATCATTTTTCAAGACCTCTTTTGTACAAAGCCCAGATTCAATAAATCATTTGTACAGTTTTCAAAAGCTCACACCTAGTACAGAACATTGAAGAACCCCCTGTATGTAGATCATTTGTACAGAACATTCAATGAATCATTTGTACAGACATTTCAGATTGATCAATGTATGTAGATAGAGAGAGGGGAGAATGAGGGGTTTTCGAATAACATTACCTGACAAAATGTGAAGAACCCCCTTCAAAAGAATGTGATCGAAGATCCGTAGAGCGAGATACAGAGAGTTATGGCCGGAGAGCTATGGCCGTCGACGGAGGAAAGCTATGGCGGACGCACGATGGAAGAGAGAAGAGGGAAGACGGACAAGGCCGTCGACGTTGTGGTAGCTTCCCGCTTTTTTTTTTGTCTTTGTTTTTAGCCTCTGTTTTTTTTTTTGGTCTTACAGGTGCGTGTATTACACCTTCCTCATTGTGCAATTGTTCTTCACATTACTTCAACAGCTGTCACCTCAGAGGGGGTCGTGGGGCTTGGTTTTGAAGGGGGTCCGTATCGCAATTGTTTTATTTATATATGGGATAGTTTAGTACTTTTGTAACTTTTTTTTTTTTTTTATCTTTTGTGATTATATAGCCTAGCAAGAATGCCAAACTAAGGCTAAATTTTTTTTGAAGATAACCCGTCTTTAAACATTAGAAAATGAATTGGACCCCCTGAAGGAGGCACTCCTTTTGACTCCCTCTCTTTAATTTTTTATTTTATTTTATTTTATTTTTTTCTTTCAATTACCAACCACCACATATGTGTGAGGTGGTGAAGCGGTGATTGAAGGGATCTCAATCACTTCACTTAAACATTTTAGTTTAGCTTAAACGACACCGCGTCAGTTTGGTACCTTCCGCCGCCTCAATTACGAGGCGGTATGTGAGCAATTATTCACTGCTTCAGAAGCAGTGACGTGGTATATTAAAATTAGATCTAGATCATGTATTCATATGAGTCCACGTGAAACTACCAGAATCGATGGTTTAGATCTGTTAATAACATTACCACATGTGGCAGTGAATAATTTTCACCGTGAATATATATAAGCCCTATCCCAACCGAGTCGAGTCTTGTGTGTGTGTGTTGTCGTCGAATAGATCTATTTCGATCGAAAAAGTGTTTTTTAGGGTTTCGAAGTTGCAGAAGAAGAAAGATGATCGAGGTGGTGTTGAACGATCGATTGGGGAAGAAGGTGAGGGTGAAGTGCAACGACGACGACACCATTGGAGACCTCAAGAAGCTCGTCGCCGCTCAGACTGGTACTCGCGCGGACAAGATTCGTATCCAGAAGTGGTACAACGTCTACAAGGATCATATCACCCTCAAGGACTACGAGATTCACGACGGCATGGGCCTCGAACTCTACTACAATTAGGTCTTCAATTTCTTCCTCTCTCAATTTGCTTTTGAATTGTCTGATTCAACTAGTTCTTCAATTTTTCCCTCAATCGATTTCTAATTGTTGGATTTGTGTGCTTAATTTGATTCCGTCGTATTGACATGCTATAATTAGGTCTTCAATTTTTCTCTTAATTGCTTTCTAATTGTTTGATTTATGGTTCTATTCATATGCTTTGTTTGATTTTGTCGTATTAACAAGCTTGAACTAGGTCTTCAATTTTTCTCTTAATTGCTTTCTAGTTGTTCGATTCACGTGCTTGTATCAACATGCTTTCACTGGATGGAAATTTTGGATAAGTATTGAATTTGTTTCTGTTTTGATGGTTTCTGCCTTAATTTCATGAAGACGTATTGTATTGGCCTCTTTTTTTATCTGCCTTGTGAATTTTTGTGGATGGTGATGTTTTTGGGATTTGGTATGGTTAGGAATGAGTAAGGCATCCGACATAAATCTAAATTTTAGGAGAAATTGGAGAGATTATTGATTGAATTAATATAGAATTCTTGAGATTGTTGAACACTGCTTAGAACTTGTGCTTTTGCAATATAAAGAAGCTATCACTTGTTTTGAGGCAACACGAACTATTTTTATTTTATCCTTCCAGACCTCATCCAAATGGGACTAAACTGGATGTACTTTTTAAGAAAAATGAAGGCACTTGCACATAAACAAAACACAAAATGTGCACAGAAAGCTTAAGGTCTGGTCTAGATTTATTCTCCTTTTAGTGGGACCACACCTAAAATTATTAGGGGGATGCACCAATAAATCCCAAATTAATAACTTATGCACTATTTAGTCCTAAAAGTTTTCTTATAGACTGAAAGGTCCCATTACAATGTTAATAACATCAGATACAATGTTAGTAACATCAGAGTCATGTTACAAACATTAGATTTCAAACATCTAATGTTCATCAAATTTCAATAATGTTTGAAAATATAGGATGAAAAACATCTAATGTTCATCAAATTTCAATAATGTTTGAAAATATAGGATGAAAAACATCTAATGTTCATCAGATTTCAATAAATTTTGAAATTATAGAATGAAACATCAGATCATTTACATCATTTACATCAATGCTGATGTAAAAATGGGACTAAATGGAGCATAAGAAAACTTTTAGGACTAAATGGTTCAACGTTTCAAAAACTAGGACTTATGGGTAAATTTTCCAAATTATTATTGTCAAATCGTGAATTGTTTTGCTAAATAGTGAATCGTATGATTAGTAAGGTTAACTTTATTTAGCATAATATATAAGTTTAAAAATGTACGTGTGTATTCATTTAAAAATACATATGTAATTTTTTAAATGAAATAAATATCAATATAAATATATTGTATATATATGTATATGCATATAAAAACCAAACCAAACCAAACCAAGCCTTAAGTCCCATCAAATGGGGTCGGCTACATGAATCCTTCTTCTCCACGCGGCCTTATCAAAAGCCATTTCATTAGTCAAGTTAAGTAGATTCATATCTCTATTTATAATGTTAGTCAACGTTAATCTAGGCCTATTCCGTCTCCTAACACTTCCATCTACTGTTACAGTATCGTATCTCTTCACTACTGCCTCTGTTGGTCTTCGTTGAATATGACCAAACCAGTGTTTTTAAAGGCTCAAGGCGCACTAAGGCGCTGAAGGTCTCTCGGGGCCTAGGCGCAAGGCGCAAGGCGAGGCGTGAGCTTTATTGAAATAAGGCGCACAGTCTTCGTAAAAATAGAAAAATTAATATAGACTAAAATAATTAATTCATAAATAAAAATTATTATGATTATATGATTATACAATTAATTCAAAAAATAAAAATAATTAATTATTATGATTATAACAATTTCAGTATAATGAATGTAATGTATCTAATTTATTTATTTCAGTATAATCTATTTATGTAAGAGTCGCACCCTCAAAAGGTGTGCCCAATCTTTCAAAAGGCGTGCCATCAAAAGACGCGCCATCAAAAGGCGCGCCATCAAAAGGCGCGCCCATGTTGTCGTCGAGCGCCGAGCAGCGCATGATGCGCGTATCTGCCTTGGTTATTTAACCAAGACGGATGCTGAGACTGAGGCAGAGACAAAACCTGCTAAAAAATCTCTGAGAGATAAACTCTGTAATACTCTGTAACACTCTGTTGCCCAGGCTGAAACCGCTGAACACTTTCATTCGGAAATACTCTGTAACCAACCCTTTCTCTGAAACACTCTGCAACCCATAACATGGACTCTTCTTCCCGTCCAGCTACCCAGAACATGGCCTCCTCGTCCCGTGGTCTGCTCACTCTCTTTCCCGACCTCAACGAGTCAACAAGAGAGATAACTGGTGTGGTGGCCAGTGAACCTCAACCAAGCGCCCCAGGTTTTACTCCGTTGAACTTTCCTATGCGGTCTGTGGAGCAAAAAATGGCAGGGCAAACGGATATTGAAGCCAATCAGTATACATTGAAGTCATGTGTGGAAACCATGACTGCGGTCACAAACTTGTCGCACCGGCTGCAGAGTAGGACAAATGAGGTGCAGCATGTAAACGCTCAACTGGCTCTGCTCCAGCGCATGTATAAGGATGCGCGAGCAGAGATAAGTGTGCTAAAGGCGGAAAATAAGGAGCTGAAGCGGAAGGCCACCGTGATGTTCCGATTTGGAGGTCCGCCATATGCTGCAGTGGAGGAGTATGGGGGAGTGAACGTGCTCGGTGGCGTGGGAAACACAGAGGCAGCACCGGTAAGGGACACCCAAGAGAAAAGCAAGAAGAAGAGACCTACAGCAGAGTAGAGAAGAAAAAAAAGCCCGCTGTGGGTGTGGTTGTTTTGTTTTTTTTTTTGTTTTTTTTTTTTTTTGTGGTTGTGGTGTAAAATGTGGATCGGGGTGAATCCCGGAGATGAATAAAATATGGTTTGTTGTGCAAATTGGAAAATGGTTTTGGGCTTTTTTTTTATTTTATTAATATAGCACAATTTTTAACATAAGTAAATATTTAATATGTATATTATTAATTTTTTTTTAATAAGAAGAGAAGAGAAGAAGAAAAAAAATCATTAATTTTTTTAATATATATAGTATTTTATTTATTTCTTAAATTTTAAAATTTTTTTTATAAATATTTTTATTTTGAAACATATATATAATTTATTTTAAAACATATATATAATTTATAAAGGTATATATATAATATATAAATAAAAACATATCATATATATAAATATAATTTATAAAAACATAAATAAAAATATATAATAAAAATAAAAAATAAAAAATAAAAAGTTATAATAATATAATATAAATTATAATTTATACTATACATATATCTATACATATATATAGAAACAGAGTCGAAGAGAGAGAGAGAAGAGAGAAACAGGCAAAGTGAGAGAGAGAGAAGGCGAAGGCGAAGGTCGATGGAGGTCGTCGGAGCTCGTCGAAGGTCGATCGAAGCTCGTCGGAGGTCGATCGAAGCTCGAAGGTTGTCAATCGACTGTCGAAGCTTCAAACTCGACTGGTTAGGGCAAACTCGACTGGTCGGAGCTTCAAACCCAGCTGATATGGTACATGAGTTCTGATCCTCTGTGATTTTATGCCATTCGAAAGCTTCATCTGAGTCGAATCTGAGTCGTTCGATCTGATCTACAGATTAAACGCTCAGTCGCGCCTAGGCGAGGGCCTTGCGCCTCTCTCGCCTGGCTCAAGGCACCATTTCATTAGTCAAATTAAGTAGATTCATATCTCTATTTATAACGCTAGTCAACGTTAATCTAGGCCTACCTCGTCCCCTAACACTTCCATCTACTGTTACAGCATCGCTTCTCTTCACTACTGCCTCTGTTGGTCTCCGTTGAACATGACCAAACCATCTCAAACGATTCTCTCTCAACTTATCTTCTATCGGTGCTACTCCTACCCATTCCCGAATACACTCATTCCTAATCCTGTCTTGTCTAGTCTTACTACACATCCACCTTAGCATCCTCATCTCAGCCACACTCATCTTATCTACATGTTGTTTTTTGGTTGCCCAACACTCTGTCCCATACATCATAGCTGGTCTAATAGCCGTTCTATAAAACTTACCTTTTAGTCTAGTGGATATTCGTTTATCGCACAATACCCCAGACGCACTTCTCTACTTACACCATCCCGCCTTAATCCTATGGGCCACATTTGCATCAATCTCTCTCGCTGTTGTGATAATTGACCCTAAATAGCGAAAATGTTCACGGAGCAAGAGCTTTTCTCCAAATCTCCAACTTTGTGTTAACTCCTTCTCTAGTCTCATCAACTAGCACAATATCGTCTGCAAAAAGCATACACCATGGCACGTCATTCTGAATATTTATCGTCAACTCGTCCATAACTAAAGCAAAGAGATAAGGACTTAAGGTAGATCCTTGGTGTAACCCTACAGTGATAGGAAATTCATTTGTCTCTCCAGCTGGCGATGTAATAGTGGTCACCACCCCTTAATACATGTCCCTAATCACGTCAATGTAACCTTTTGTCACCATTTTCTTCTCTAACACCCACCATATTATATCCTGGGGCATTCTATTATATGCTTTCTCAAGGTCAATAAACACCATATGAATGTCTTTTTTCTTCTCTTTATACTTTTTTATTACTCTCCTTAAGAGATAGATCGCTTCCATTATTGACTTACCAGGCATAAACCCAAATTGATTCTCTAACACCTCTGTCATGTCTCGCAATCGGCGTTCCATCACCCTCTTCCACACTTTCATTATATGACACATTAGCTTGATTCCTCTATAGTTGTTACAATTCTGGACATCACTTTTATTCTTATAGATTGGTACTAAAATACTCTTCCTCCACTCATCTGGTTTGTTCCTAGTCAACAAAATTTTGCTAAACAACCTAATCAACCAAGCAACTCCCTTTTTACCCAAACACTTCTAAGCTTCAAT